GGTCGTGACTTATTCTTCACTGTAAGAAGTATTTGGAAAGAGTAAGTGAGGGTACATTACGTAGTCCCTTCTTAAATGGTTCACTGATCCCGCTCCACTTGGGATCCCTTCTTCCTTTATTAATTAACCAATCAGTGGTTGATCTTGGGTCGCACAATAGATTATGCACGCCTTCATTTCCACTTCCTTCCGGGCTCAGTTCCGAATTTGCTAATTGGGAAAGTGTCGGAAGGTGGCGAGCCTTTTCCATTGGTCACCTCTCTTTGGTTGCCTCATCCCTCTCTGGGACTTGGCTAGACGAAGGGTCCGCTTGGGCGTGGTCAATTTTCCAATACGATCGACCAGATGTGGCATAGCCAAGAACAATGCAAGCATTGTCTTAAAGGCCGAGTGCACACGTATGGTCATTGCATGTTGTTGCGCGTACGGGTTTTGGGTTGCAGTAAATATTTTGTACTCAATGCTTCACGCATATCTGATATTCGTTCTGAATCTACTTTGGGGTTCTCCCGGCAGTAAACCCATTAGGTTCTACTGCACTGGGAGTATGAGCACGTTCCGCTAGAGTTTTCCAGATGTTTTATGACACTAGTACAAATAATTATGAGCAGGAAAGTTTTGAAGTCTTAAATACAATTTTCATGACATTACTTGTCAGATATTTTATTGCCTTACTAAACGGAGTCTTATTCTCAAACAGTATTGCTATTGGTATTTTTGATCTGTGTCTATTTGTATATTTTTATTTTCCTCTTTTCTATAATAAGTCTCAATAAATAAATTTTTTATTTAAAAAAAAAGTAATATTTTTAATTTAATTGTTAGATTAGCTTATCTTTTCTTCTACTAAATTTAAAAACTACTTTCTCAATCTAGTTACTAAATTAATAATACTACTAAATTACTAAATTAAAATAAACTAAATTTCAAAATTCATCATTAGTAGCCATTTCTTATTGCCTTAAAGTTATGTTTCAAAATAACTTATGTTATAAAACTAAAATATTAATAATCCATTATTATATTATCGACTAATTTGATCATTTTTAATTGTATTTTCGTACTATTTATTCTTTTTATTATATTCGTAGATATATAAATTAAAAAATTTGTTTTCTCTTGTGAGTGTTTGAAAACAAATATGTGGTAAATTATTAATTGTAATAACATTATAATCTTTTCTAAGACTAACCATTATCTTTCTAGATTTTATTATTTATTAATTTATTCTTTTGAGTGTTTGTAAACAGTTTTACATTATATTAAACAATTGATCAAATATCGGATTTTTAAACAGTATCATTTTTTTTTCTTATTACGATTATATTTTTAATATGGTTTTCTTTCTTATTTATTTATTGCATATCTTATTCAATATTTAACTATATTAATGATTCAATTGTTCAATTATTGTTCAAAATTTAGAATTAGAATGTAACCTAATTTTCTGTTAGATTATTGTTGTACCTTTTTTTATTATTACTATATTCTTACAATTTAATTCTTCTCACATATCTATTTTAGCAATGATTTAAGTTTTAATAATTTTATTTCATGTAAATCTGAAATCATATCACTAATTCTGAATTTAATCTTTGAGTTCTGAAAACATATTTTTTAATTGGTCAAATTTCTCAGAAAATATAATACTAAATAAATATTTATTTTATTAAATAATATTAATATTAATACAAACTATACCTTGTATTAAGTATAACTTTATGATTAAAAAATTTAATAAATTAGTACAGGTGGTACTATTATTCTGTTGATTAGTTTAGAGAAGCTATCGTTTTTATTACTATAAAATATTATGTTCGACAGTTAACTTAGTATACGTAAAAATTACTTTTAAACTTTTAGTTATTTGTTAAATGAATGTAAAAATATATATTTCGAAATTCGTATTAAGAAGTTCTACTCTATTTTAAGTTTCATTTAGAATTCATTCTGCAAGAAAAGTTTGCAAATAAAAAGGTTATAATATTTAAAATTAAAATAGTAAAGGTAAAATTTTTTTCTAAGAAATTGTTCCATTAAGCAGGCTTTCGCATCCCAATGTTTTAATAAAACCCTAAGTGCATTGTTTGTGTACACGAATATTAGTTAAAATAAATTTAATATTTTATAACCTACCAATCAATAATATTGAAAAGAATACAAAAAGATAAATGGGATGTTGTTATTGTCAAAAAGGTGTTTAAATTTACAAGAGTATTCATGTATAAAGTTATATGTTATAAAAATATATTTACAGTTACTGTAGCATGATGATTATTTCTTTGGATTACGCTTTAGTGTCTACATTTACTTTGTTGCGTTTAATGAGATAGCTAATTGGCATTCACTTCTAGCGTATCATTTGACAAATTACTTTTGTAGTAGAGTTAGGTATTTTTATCTATCACTAAAATTAATTCATTTTATTAAATATACTCTATTATGTGTCTCAAAGTCAACTTTTTTTCATAATTTAATACTGCCGAGCTTAGTGCAGTATAATTATGAATTGCTGTGTATTTTTCTATGTTAACTATTAATTCATAAATACTGGACCTTTAACCTTTGTTCCATAACCTTAAGCATTATTATGCATATAGTTTTCAATATCTGCTATAGATGTACTATTGAGTTTGAATTGTATTTATAAGAGAAATAGGATTTCTTTTGATGTTTTAAGAATTTTTCGTAATTCTATAAATTGCATCTTATTATTAAATAGAAATGCTTAGACGAAGTATAAGGTTAAGAACACGTATTTCTTTAATCATTTAATCATTATGATATCGTTAAATTTCATCACTGTGGCGCATGAAATTCGATATATGGATAGATTTTTAAACATTTATATTCATTAATATATTTTATTTATTAGCATTAGTGATTTTATTACATGGCTTGTTATAACCGTGATATAAACTTATCGCTATTTCAGTTTAGGATCAATACAAAGATTTATTTGAAAAAAAAGATACCTGGTACATCAAAACACTACTGAAGTCCATTTTCATTACATTTCTGAAATACTTCTCGTACCTCATTATCACTAAAGTCGATCTGTTATCTATCTTTTTAGAATTAGACTATGGCCACCAGTTGCCTGGTAGAAGAAAAGTATGGGAAAGTGGAAGGGGTAGCGCTTGAATTCAGTATTTAATACGTCTGCTTTGCGTAATTGGTATTTCATTTATTTTATCCCTACATATAATGATTCTACATTGACGATGAGAATCGGTGAGATCTTGCCATTTCTTAGTTATTACCACGTGGTGTCAGTATGCACTACATGTAGAGGTGTGAGGTTGTAAGTTTCCGGATCCTCTTGATGCAGTACGTTTGGTAGTGAAATACTACACTGGGAGTAAGAAGTACATAAGACTCTTGACACTTCTTCGTGTAGTACCACGTGGTGGTAACTTGATTGTTCCTCCAAAATGTCTTGTAGTGTAGAAGTATGAGGAGGACCTTCTGTAGTGGCTCTGCAGAGAATGTGTACAATAGCTGCACCAGTATTGGAAAGGCTTGGGACTGCTTCCATGATTCGGTTTGGCTGACTGGCTTCTTGATCGACTAACTCAAGAAGAGTAGGTACTATGATGATTGATTAGCTCATGACTGAGTAGTGCTTATCAAATGATGTGCTTGCCTTTAATATTTACGCAGCTGCTTTGTTAGTTGAAGACAAAGGGCCGATCATTGCGCTAGAACAATGGGTTCGACTATGTTGCGAGAAAAAATGGGAGTAATTATGCACTCATTTCGGATATACCAGCTTTTCCGAATCTCCAATGACCGTTGGATAATTTTCCTAGAAGCTATGACCGTTGAATAATTTCGTTGAAATGATAACCGTTGAAGATTTTCTTCGAAATGGTAGCCATTAGGATTTTTCGTGAAATCATAACAATCGAGAGATTCTCTGAATATCGAACACTATCACTTTTTTGAATTTTTTAAAATTAATTAATTTGAACGTTAGTAGTTTTTCTAAATGTCTTATCATTTTCTGTTATATAATAAATATCATTTCATGTTGTTCAAGATTGCGAGACCTTTTTTCAATGCAATATAATATCTGGCAAAACAACATCATAAATTTATGTTTAGATTTCAAAAATTTTTGCTCGCAAGCATCTAGCAATAGTGTCATAAAACATCTGGAAAAACTATACAATAAAACGGAAAAAACCCACTCAGTTAGGCATATGTACGAGGCGACTAGGCTCTTAATTAACCATAAGGCTCTGCCGGCCTTACCCTCACAGTTCAAAGTGTGACGCTTATGAATCAACAGCGTGCCATTCAACGCTCGCAGAAGACACAACAAGAGCAGTATCCTTCATGAGGTAAAAGCCCTACAAACTCTTACTTCCAACTGAATTTATTGCAATATCAGGACACGGTACGCTTGCTGCGATACGAGTGTATCTATCAAGTAACAACAGTTACATATGTCGCACTACATATCAACCATAACCTCAATTATGCACGTGCTCATTCAAACAGCGCGAGTGTCGACGAACCAAACTTCGCGCCATTCTGCGCTTATATTCAAACCATCACGCTGCGTAGATGAGTATACGTTTGCCACCGCAAACACATCACTTCCACCACAAGAATTATTTCCATAATTAATAATAGTAATACTAGTCAAACTTGTCATCAATAAATAACAGAATAAATAGCATATACACCAGCCGTATTTATATTGTATTATTATAATATCCCTTCCACTTGTGACCTTTCATCGCTACTACACAACACCCGTGGTCTCTGACTTGTAAACGGCATCAATTTGTATCCTTCGAATCGGCCTTGGTAAAACAAGTCGGAACGGCGAATACATTTTGTACACATGTCAAAATCTCTTTAGTTCTTTTTCTTCGTTTATTAGAAACAGAAAATTGCACAGGTTTTAGTTAAAATTTCCTGTATTCTCTGTATTATTATTATTATCATTATTCTATTCCAGTGTGGTTTCTGTGTTGTTATTCTTGTATGACTATCGATATTTATCTCTATGAAAGTGAAAATTACTCTATTACAAGTTGTTATTATCTAAAAAAGTATAATCTAAAAAATATAATCTAAAAAATATAATCTAAAAAATAATAATAATAAATATAGTATAATCTAAAAAAAAGTAGTATTTTAATGCCTATATCACTTTTATTTATATATAATATGCATTATTTATTGAATATTAAATATAAATTAATAATTTTTTTATTTTATCATAGACTTTATATTTTGATACAATTTACATTTCTTAGTCTTTTTAAATTCTTTTATATTTATTAAAATTGATGGTGATTGCTTGAAATGCATTAAGAAGAGGAGTATTTTATGTTTCTACATCTTTTTAAACTTTTTACCACCACTTATTCTCAGGAAGAAGTAACAGACAAAAGTCGATTAGCTGAATCTTGTAAAATATCTTTCTACTTCTGTGGTTCAATATCCAGTTACATTTAGTCTCATCAAGCATATACAGCACAAGTATTGAGATTCTCGTTATCTTAGTAGAAAGAGACAAAAGAAAGTCCAAGTGCAAGCAGTTCGTGCATGGAAGCTTCCCGTTAAGCCTGTGAGGAGAAACTGAAAATATCACAAAACGACTTCCAAGTAAGTCCTTATCTCTAATGTTGATACTTCACTTCACGGCTTACACAGTTACGGACCGCAAGCTGTCCGAGTCCAGAAGCTGCCCCGCATGCTCACTTAGCAAGACCAGCAATTCGCGCCATTGATTGGTGCACATTCCTGTAACCTCTATCTCGAGCTCGTGTTGACTCACACAGCTCACTATTTAGAGGTAACAGCAACACGTGCCAAGATCATGACACAACCAAGAATTGTAGTATTCGTTCAGAATACAATAAACATTATAATCTCTCAAGTGGTAATATACAATAGTTTATAACCTATCTTTTTTCACAGTAAATTATTATTTCACCCGTTACGTGCAAGGAATAAGGAATTTATCACCTTCTGATTCTCCAACAGAAATATATCGCAACACCACATTCATTATTGAGAATAATGAAGGTTCATTTGTAACCTCATGAAGAATAATAATTTCTAAATTGGAAAGGAAATGGAATAAACAGCAATAAGAAATATATGTATTAATTATTAAATCAGTGTATTAACTCCTACACTTGCCCACGTATTCTCCCACACAACATCTAGTGGTTTTTCTTAGTTAATTCTAAACGTTTGGTTCATCGAGCCGGATTAGTGGAATTAATTTTTCTACATATAGTAGTATAGATTTATTTTTAAAAATTGTGATTCTTCGTGGAAATTTAAATTTTCTTTTTGTCAAATTACCTACCAGTGCATACAAAGCAAATAATTATATTACTCAGTGTTTGAATCAATGTATGCATATTATGGAATGCGCTCTTCAACTTAATCATAATAAATTATACTCATTAGAAATTATTTATTATATTAAATATATTAAGCAAAGTCTGATAAATTCTTCTAATTTTATTGTATACTAAGTTACAATTATTCAATATTAACATAATGATTTATATTTATTATTAATTTTTTCATTTATGTAGTTATTTTAAGTATCTATGTAATCTTATTTTTACAAATAATTTTTAGAGTTTATTGAAACTTTTAATTTATAGATTGGATTAATTGATATTCTTTAAGGTTTACGTATATACAATGAATTACACTTCTGTGTAAAGTGTTCTATCATTAGTATCTTGTAGTTCATAATTGTTGCATTTTGTTAAATATGTCCAAAAGTCGCAATTTCGTTTTTTATATGGATTTTTACTAATATGATTGCTAAATAATTGATTGATTTCTTTTTCTAGTATTTTAACCTCATCTTTAATATTTACATAAGTAAATTTGTTGAAATCATTTTTTTTTACTTTACTATTATGGATTTGCCTTTCAAATAACGGTAATATCTGGAAATATAAAATTCATGAATTTAATGATTTGAGCTTTAATGTGTGTTGGAAATTGCGAGACCTTTTTTCAACGTAATACAACAAATTTGTGTTTAGATTTCAAAACTTTCTTGCTTGCAACCATCTAGCAATAGTGTCATAAAACATCTGGAAAAACAATATAATAAACACGGGAAAACCCACTTAGTTAGGCATATGTACGAATTCGCTCCGCTCGGTAAGTACTTCAAGCAGTATGTACTAGCGGACCCCCCCCCCCCCCTAATAATGTGGGGTAAATTATTACACTGAAAAGTAAGAGGTTGTAAATCTCTGGTACTTATTCGTGGAATGCCACGTGATGGTAACGTATTGAGTTCTTCTTACTGGAGAGACTATGTTGGCTGCACAGTTCGAGAGAGGTGCCTTTGTTGGCTTGGTGCATGTCGCACAATTATAAAGGTGGTTTTTTTGGCTTGCGATAGGTGTACAATTAATAATAGGCCTTTGCCGGTTTGGTATTTTACTCACAGCGATTCAGTTTCCTTGAAAGGATCCTGCAAATGAGTGCCAAGAAATTGCGGTTCGTCTAGTCGTATCCGTTCTTGTAATGCAGTCAGCACTCTTGACTTTTTTCAATTGTTGCGCACTTGAGAATTGAACATGTATTGAATATAATGGCTTCACAGTATTGGGGTATTAGAATCGTCACGTGCTTCTTTGAAATATCCGCGCGGCAGCTTACTTAGCTGGCAACAATACATAGGTGTTACTATCCCGAATGTCTTGCATGACGTCAGAGATTAAAGCATTAGATCTTTGAAATCTCCAGAAAAGCAAGGTTCTATAAAGTTTGTAGAGTTCAAACCGACGTTGTTATGCAAAAACATTGTAGGACACTCGAAAATAAGGCGTGGAATATTCGATAATTCGCTGAATCAATGTTTATAAACACAAGAGTTAGAAGGCTTATACTTCTCTCAGTGTTCAAATTCTTACAAAATGCACCAATTCCGAACAATATTGTTTATATGATTTTTAAAATATTGATTATTTAAGAATTATTTTTATACAATGTTAAGTGAAATATGAAAACGTTGTTTAGTAATCATTTTAGACATTAATTTAGATCGATTATAATACCCAATAATAACATTTATTAATTATTAATACAGTTTATATTTATTAATACAGTTGTTTTATGATATGGGTGTTATATATATA